AATTTAAAAGTAGGATTCCAATAACCCTTTAACTAAAACTAAGTGAATTTGTCGCTTTGCAGTTTTATAAAGAATTTGTAGATGAACCCTCAACTCACCTTTTCCAGGATATGATTGGCAGAATCCATCATTTTTTAAATGATATGATAATGATAAATCTAAAATTATAAAATTTTCCCCCATTAGATTTGTTACAGCATTTGCTTAAAATAATAAGTAAGTGTATGACCCCTAAATTAATTATAAACATCTGATAGTGTAAAAAAGCAACAAGTTTTTCCCCATAATTTTGGAAACAATGAATCCTGCGGGTAAGTCTATGTCTAAACCAATCATATAGTTAGTGGACAGATGCCAAGTTTTAACTATCGAACTTTTTCTTGCATTATTAATTAAAATAAAAATATGGGATTTCAAATCTAAATCTGTTGATTCTTCAAATAAAGTATTTTAAAATCTATTTGCATTAGTAGAAAATATGATGTTCAGCAGACACACAGTATATCAGGGCAGAAAGTTAAAAACCAGAACAATTACAAACCCTGCAATTTAAGTTTTTTTTCTTCTTTTAAATTAATTTCTTGTATTTTTACAGGACTATACAGCTTCGTTCTATGAATGAAAATAATTTACCTGCAGCTGCTTTTCTTTGATCAGCTAGGACAAAAATTTATTCACAGGCTCTCCGGAAAAAGTACCAATAAGAATAATTTGTTTTAAGACCTAAAAAATAAATGTTTTCGATTAAATACATAATAAATATGTTTAAAAAGAAATTTATATTTTTTTCTCGGTTTGGGAATACTTACATACATAAATATATTTAAAGTAATTGTTTAGTTATCCTACAGTCAAGATAAGGTAGATAGAAGAACAATTTATTCTGCTATTTCAAAAAATTAAGAAAGAAAACAATCCTGATATTAATTTTGCAAATTGTTTATTTTAGGCCTATTTTCCGGTAATTAATAGCAATACATATTACACAGTAGTATAGTTTCAAATGAATTTTTATGATTCAGTTTTATAAATATTTCAATTATACTTAAATTCTTATACTTTAAATTAAAAACTGAATATTAAGTTCTTAAAGTATGCTCTAAAAAATCTCATCTCAAAAAAATCTCATTTAAATCAAATAAATGGAATTAAAATAAAATCCTGGAGAAATAAAATAACGGAGATTTTACCATCGACATTTTTTGGGCTACGAGTAAAGTTTTGATACATCATGCATAATCATGTAAGTCAAAATAGGAAATAATATAAGCACTTAAATTTAGTGAAGTAAAAAATATGTATATAAATCTTCATCTGAATAAATTTTTTTAAAACCAGTATTTATAATAATACTATAAACACTCAACATACTGCAGTGCTGGCAATAGTACCATCTGTTGAGGAATAAGAGAAGTATTTCTGTCATTAGCTGATATTTTTTTTCTTTCTTTTTTTAATTTTCTCAACAAATACGGAGAAATTTGAGAATATACAGGTAAACAGGAGATAGTAGTAAAATGTAGGAGTTTCCGTTGAAAAACAAAAGACTTTGCAGGTATGTAATAATAAAATTAAGAACATGTTTAAAAGACCATAAAAGCTGAAAATTCAGATCAATAAAGTTTCATGTATAAACTTTAAATATCATAGGGTTGATTACTTCATGGAAAAATATCGTAGAATAAGAATGTTAATTTACTTTTCATAATTTCCTTACTTAACATATTCATCTATAGCACAGTCATCATCATCTAAAGGTGTAACATAACTTTCTTCTGATTCTTCATCATCTCTGAAGTCTCATCATCATCAGCAGTCACAGAGGGGGTAACAGGGAAAGGAGAGTTCTTCATGATTTTAGACAGCGACTCTAAATAATCACCATCTTCATTGATTCCATCACTTGCCAAAGCATCTGAAAATAACTATACATTAACTTACCACTACCAATAAAAACATACTATGAATCAATAACAAATAAAATCATCAATGCAGAGTTAACTCATGAAAGATAGTTCTGCTTGTCATTTTATGTCAAATTTTTCTTACAAAAAAAAAAAAACAAACTTGGAGATGATTGAGTTACAAAAAAAAACATCAAGCATGATTCAATAGGCGATATGATAAAAGGTGTTATAAAGTTTGTAAAAACAGGCAAAGAAAAAATTCACTCACAAAATGCTGATTCATTTCAACACTAATAGGAACTAATTGCTGGGTACAGACGCAAACAGTCTTTTTTTTTTTGGTTCTGCATCAAATTCGTCAGATAATCATTCTCCGTTTCTTTAAGTATTTTCAACAATTCAAGAGCAATTGGTTTTATATGTGGTTCAAGATGTCTTTCATCTGCAATGAAAATGTATATATTTTACNAAACAGGATAGTAGTAAAATGTAGGAGTTTCCGTTGAAAAACAAAAGACTTTGCAGGTATGTAATAATAAAATTAAGAACATGTTTAAAAGACCATAAAAGCTGAAAATTCAGATCAATAAAGTTTCATGTATAAACTTTAAATATTATAGGGTTGATTACCTCATGGAAAAATATCGTAGAATAAGAATATTAATTTACTTTTCATAATTTCCTTACTTAACATATTCATCTATAACACAGTCATCATCATCTGAAGGTGTAACATAACTTTCTTCTGATTCTTCATCATCTCTGAAGTCTCATCATCATCAGCAATCACAGAGGGGGTAACAGGGAAAGGAGAGTTCATGATTTTAGACAGCGACTCTAAATAATCACCATCTTCATTGATTTCATCACTTGCCAAAGCATCTGAAAATAACTATACATTAACTTACCACTACCAATAAAAACAAACTATGAATCAATAACAAATAAAATCATTAATGCAGAGTTAACTCATGAAAGATAGTTCTGCTTGTCATTTTATGTCAAATTTTTCTTACAAAAAAAAAAACAAACAAACTTGGAGATGATTGAGTAACAAAAAAAAACATCAAGCATGATTCAATAGATCTGATCTTCAGCAATTTCAGTAAACATAGAAACACTCATGAAGAATAAAAATTTAAGAAAAAAATAAAAAATAATTCAAACTACCTGTTGAGTTAGTTAGAAGCAGCAAGAGGTAACAGGAGATCTAAAAAATACAAGGGAATATGAATAAAAAAATGAATTTTCTAATATCCTTATTATTACTTTTGATCTAATAAATATATGAAAACAATAAATAAGCTAATTGAAAATAATAAAAAAAATACTTTTACTTAATTATTCATTAGAAAATTGTAGACTTTATTAATACCAGGTCTCTTA